CCCTGGCTCCCGGCCTCCTGCCCCCCCCCTGGCCTCCGTAGGCCACTTTTTAAACTCCCCACCCAGCAGGGATTGCCGGCTTCCGCCCGGCCGGCCTCACTCCCCCGGCTCCGGGGTCCTCCTGCCCGCCGGGTTGCCTGCCGCCCTCCGCCACCTCTGCGCCGCGGCGGACGGCGTTTCCCAACCCCGGCCGCGGGAGGGGGTTTCCCAGCTCTTGCCCCCCCCTCCCAGGGGGCTGGCTGCCTTTTCCTGTGCCAGGGTCGAGTGCGGGGTTGGATTCCCCGTCACAGTTACCATGAAGCAGTGATGATTTGTGAGCTGACTTGCAGTTCTATTCTTGGACTTGCAGGATGTATGTATGGGGGTAGTGTATTTATCCTTAGAGGGCAAGGATGAACTTGCCTGTTTTATTAGGTTTCCTACTTTCTCTTTTTCAAATCAAGACGGGATGGTTGCAGGAGTGTAACTTCAGAAAATCAGAAGCAGAGCTGGTCAAAAGCGTGACTTTCCACAATTATTTTGTAACATTTGTCAAAGTAAGGACAAATAAGATCACAAGAAAAAACAAGATGTAGGAAGAAGTGGAATTAATTAAGTTTTTTAAAAGATTGCTAGAATCAAAGGGCAGTATAGATATATTTATGAATGAACAGGTTAAAAATCATCTGTCATTAATGGTCTAGTTATTTCTTAGTCCTTCCTTTATTGTAGCGGACTGCACTACATAATCTCTTGAGGTCCCTTCCAGACTCCAGTCTATGATTCTATGAGTCTATGATAGTGGGACGCATTTGGTTTATTTGAATATGGGCAGTGAGGGATGGTCCATTAAGTACAGCTCACATGGGAAAGTAATCACAAAATTATAAAAATATTGGGCTAGAAGGGATCTCAAGAGGTAATCAAATCAAGCGCTCTGCTAAGGCAGGACCAAATAAGCCTAGACAATCCCAATAGGCATTTGTCTAATCTTTTATCAAAAATCTCCAGTGATAGGGATTCCACAATCTCCTTTGGAAGTCTGTTTAATTGCCTTTTATAATTAGAAAGTTTTCTTAATATCTAATCTCAGGTTCGTAGCAAGGGTTGCTCACCCCGGGCGCATCATCAACAGAGGCACAAAGACACGATAAGTACAAATAATAAGATGTAAAGAATAAAATTAAAGAGCGTGACGCATGCTAACCTAAGGAGCAGGGGGCGCAAAATTAATATTTTGCCAAGGCACAAAAATATCTGGTTACTGTGCCATCTAATCTAAATCTCTCTTCCTGCAGATTAAGCTCATTATTTCGTGCTCTACCGTTAGCAGCCATGGAGCAGTTGATCATTGGCCTCTTTATAACAGCTTATAACGTATTGGGTCCCAGATCAGTTTTCTTTTCTCAAAACTAAACATGCACAGATTTTTTTAAACATTTCCTCATAGATAGGTAAAGGGTTTTTTAAAGCCTTCTATAATTTTTGTTGCTGTCCTCTGGACTCTCTCCAGTTTGTCCACCTCTTTTGTCTTGCAAGCTTTTCAACTTGGTATCACCCACACTTTTTATAAGCATTTTCTCTGTTACTCCACTATTCAAGTCATGAATTAAAATATTAAATTCTATACCCGGGACTGACCCATGCAAGACCATAATAGACACACCCTTTCAGTTGGATACTGAACAACTGATAACTATTCTGAGTATAGTCTTTCTAATATATGTCCTTAAATTGGTGGTTTTCTAATGATCCAGAATTAACAATCTGTTATACTCTTGTTTTGGTGAAGGTGTTTAAAGAAAAATAGCACAAAGATTTAAAAAAAATCTATAAATCAAGCTGGTTATGTTACTAAATATCTGTGAGCCTGATCCAAAGTCCGGTGAAATCAATCTGAGACCTTTCATTGACTCAGATGGGATTTGAACCAAACACTGTGATAGCTCTTTATTACAGACAGTGGATGAAATCCTGCCTCTGTTGAAATCCATAGCAAAATTTCCACTGAATTCCATGGGAAGGATTTTACCTCGCCCAAGGGTGGGGAACCTCTGGCCCACAGGCTGCATACAGTTTATCAAGGTTACCCACTGATGGGCTGCCAGATGGTTTGTTTACCTGAGTGTCTGCAGCCATGGCTGTTCACAGCTTTGCCATTCCAACCAATAGGAGTGGTGGGAAGTGGTAGCCCACCCCACATCACTTCCCACAGCTCCCATTCACTGGAAATGGCAACCTGGGGCCACTGGGAGCTGCCAGCAACCATGGCTGCAGATGCTCAAGTAAACAAACTTTCTGGTGGCTAACCTTGACAAACTGCTTGTAGTTGGTGCACTGGAGGTTCTCCACCCTGAGTTAGTGTCATTGCCACAAGGAATTGTTATGTTGCCATCTAGGTAGGAAATCTGAGAAAAGTTTCAGTAGTTAATTAGATTGTAAATATTACCTGAATTTAGTGAATCTGCAGGAAAGGTAAATATATAGAACGAGATTCTAACACCTATACTCACACTGTGTAGTGCTTTACACAGCAGTCGCAATCCAAGTGAACCGGGAGCCTAGAGACTACAGCAATCAGTGCCAATAAGGATGAGTCAGGATCCTGATAAGTATTTTAAATTAGTAAGTTTACATACTATTTTCTTATTGTAACCTCACTTCATTAAAGTTTGTATGATATAGTTATTAGTTATTTTTTAAATCAGAATAGTAAGCGTCTATTTAGACAAGCATCTGAAGTAGAACACCAACCTCAAAGACTTCCCAGCAGGACACACAAATGAAAACTGTTTGACTTCTCACTAGAGACTCTTTTAATACAAAGTTTAAAACAAACAACAAACCCTTGCTAGTGGGCTTCTTTGAGGAAAGAAGTATAAAGAAACAAGTAACCTAATGAAATATAATTAGAAGTGTTTCTGTGCATGAAACATGTCTATATATACCTTTGATTTTAATACTCTATATATTAAATATGAAAAATATTAATGCAATTTAAGGATTCGTATTTAAGACCAAAGAGGTCTATAAATGCAAAAGGTAATGTTTCAATGGACACAGTAGTTCACCTCCATTATATATACGTTATAGTATGTGGTTAATTATTCATGTAATAATTAACTAGTGATTGTAAATGAGAACATATGCTGACAAAACTGTAAACTGTCATTTCTGAAAACTTCTTTGAGCTTAAAAATTATATATAAACTTGTAGTGTGTATGCTTATCTTCTATTGTATCTCTCTCTAATAATTTCTTTCTTCGTGTCCTATGTCTGTCTTTTTATTATTGTATACTCCCATGTTCTTTATTTTTCCATGCTGTTTCATTTCGATTTGGAGTAGGCTGCAGTTGCCAACCATAGAGCTTTTCTTCGGGTCCACGTACCTCCTGAGTACCACAGTGGTTATGTGATAGGCAAAGTATGTATTATTTTCTATTCTGCTTTCTGGCTGAATAAAAGTCATTTTAGAATTATTTTATTACTGTACCTTTTAATCATATTCATTCAAGGATATTTGAAAAATAATATTTTCAGGCAGTTGCTAGTTTGGATTAGTTAATATTTGGAAGTTATATCCCATAGCCTAGGAATGCATTGTATTGTGTTTAAAAAAAGAAATACACACCTTGAATTTTCAAAAAATGTACATTCAAACTTTTAAAATGAAGTACTGCATATAAAGTATTTTAATTTTGTTAGGAAATCAGTTGCACACAACAGTTTTCTATTGTGTCTGTCATTTTTCTGCATTGTTGAAAACTACCTTGATTCTTAAGACAACTGATGAAATGAACTCCCTGTGATTCTCAGGCAGGGGTCTGGGGCCTGCTGGAGGACCATGAGCAGGTTTCAGGGGAGTCTGCCAAGCAGGACCAGCTTTAGACTTGTCGAGGTCAGTGGCAGAAAGCTGAAGCCACAACTAAAGGGGCTGAAACCCAAGGCCCTGAGCCTTACCACCTGGGGCTGAAACTGAAGCCTGAGCAGTGTAGCTTTTTGCAACGGTCCCTGTGGTATGGGGCCCCAGCCATATAACTGCCATGCTTGTGATTCACTAATTCTGGCTTTTATATGCAGAAAACCAGTTACTGTGCACAAGTGGTCTGTGGAGTTTTTAGAGAATGTTGGGAAGGCCTCAGAGAGGTTGAAAATCCCTATTCCCATGAATTGAGTTTGTTCTTTGCTGTCCAGTTATATGGATTAAACCATATTAAGAGAGTCCTTTATATGAGATCTTAAATACTCTTAGCACTTGGCTACACAGGGAACTCAATTCACATAGCTCTAGCAGCATAATTATACCACTGTAATTATGCCAGTGTAACATCCCATGTGGATACTCTATTTTAGAATAAAAATAACTTAAGGTGTGGGGGGGAAGGGGTATTGAGCAATTATTTTAAAGTTAGTGGTATGTATTTGCTACTCACTGTTATTACCTTCACCTAGCTCTAAAGACCCAAGGATCTTAGCACATTATAGAAACAAAATAAAAGTCACTCTTCTAAAGAGCTTACAATCCTAGTTTTAGACCAGTCATGACAGATTAGTGACGTGTGCAAATGAGGAGAGGGAGCCTGGGGTAACAGTAATATAAGCATATTTTTCCATAGACTAGCTGTGCACAAATTGTAGCTGTTAAATATTTTGAATAATGGCGATATGATGATGATGGGTGACCATTCATTGCCGAGTATGACCATCTTCCATTGTAGTTTTGGACCCTCAGGTGACTGATAAGGCTGATCTTTAAACCTCAAGTTCTGTTACAGTGGGGACAGGTGTTTGCAGGTACAGCTGGAGGCTGTAGAGCAGTCATGTCAAACATTCGGCACACGGGCCGCTTGAGGCCCGATAGATTTTTTTTGCAGCCCACGATTACGTCTTTATAAATTATCTAAGTGCGGCCCACTCGGTTACATTGTTTGTAACAGGGGTAGCCAACCCATGGTTCTTGATTAAGGAAATGCAGTTCCTGCTGGTTCTGAGCCACGCGCCAAGACTGCTCACGGCTGACCGCTCTGTGCATGTGCCCCAGCGCCTGAGGGAGAAGCACGTGGTGGCGGCTCCAGGATTCAGGCATTAGGCTAGAATTGGGGAGGGAGACAGGCTCTGGGGGAGAGGAGGGGATTGCGTTAGAGCAGGGGAGGGGGGAGCTGGAGGTGCCTGGCTCTGTGGAAGGGGGAGGGAATTGGGTTAGAGCAGGGGAGGCTGAAGCACCTTAAACTCAAAGTCTTCATGGATGCAAATAACAATTTTACATATCAAATTATTGTATTCTATTCAAACAAGACCTGAAAAAAATTATAAAATATACCTAAAACATAATCTATAATAATAAAAAATTGCAGCTTTCCGATAGAAGTACATTTTCTTTGGTGGCCCTGAAAGCTACCAGTTTTCGTTTGTGCGCCCCTCAGTAGGCTTTGAGTTTGACATGCCTGCTGTAGACCATGACTAGAAGCCAGTCTCCCCTTCCTCTTGTGCCTCTTCTCCTCCTCAGCTTGTTGGCGGGCAAATTCAAAATGCAGGGAGCCATTGGGTAGGACTTGTCTCCATTTTGAGCGATCCTGGGCAAGTGTCACCAAGTGTCAATGTCAACGTTGCACTTCTTTAAGTTATCCTTTAGCAAGTCCTTAGAATGCTTCCATTGTCCTCCCACCTTACAGTATCCTTCTCTCAGCTGAGAAAATAGGACCTGTTTTGGGAGGAGATGTTCTGGCATCCATACAAAGTGATCAGTCCAGCAAAGTTGCTGACGGATGATCTCTGTCTCGATACTGGTGGTCTTTGCCTCTTCCAGAACACTAAATTCTTCCAGTTACCGTAGTCTGACTACAGCTTGTCTAACCACTATCAGCCCATAGTGTCCTACAAGCACCACAGTAAGAAATAGGACAAATTGAGGCCCTATGCATACCTCCTCAGCCCCAGAAGCAATCCTCCCTTTCTGGAGAAATAGAATTATCAGGCAAGGACCTCCCCTCCAGTACATACCATAATAGCCAGGATGTGTCTGAGATGGTGGAAGGGTCAGGACTGTTGCCTTCTGCCACACTGAATCCTCTACTAGGATGTGTCAGTGGCTCTTCTTTCCCATACCCAAGAGCATGAGGTCTTGGGTAATAGGCAAGTAAGATGTTAAACCTTTCTGAGCTACAGGCTTACTGCAGACTTGTGGGTTCATCATGGTGTTTTACATTGAAGTAGGGCAAGGTCCATAACACATTTTAAATGGCTGTAAATTTGTTAGTGTCCTACTTTAATGTAAAACACTGCCTCACAAAAAACCCCTGCAAGACCATGGTTTAACCTTCTTCATACTCTCTTCTCTTCAGCACTGAGGAAAGCGTAGGAACGCTAGGCCCATGCATCAGCTCCCACAGTCACGTACTTACACCAGAAAGTTTCTATCACTTATTGGGGAAAAAAAAAAAGATCTGGACATGTGATCCAAGTGCAATTAATGCAGTGATGGCCAGCGATGCCCAGCCAACAGCCGCCGCTTTCCGACCATCCAGCTCTGAAGGCAGCAAAGATGCATGCTTTTACCTTATACTGTACAGATTTCATAGGGGAAGCCAGCCTTTTTCAAACTGGAGTTACAGAGGTACAGTATTGCACATTGCCACCCTCACATCTTTGCTGCCTTCAGAGCTGGATGGTCAGAAAGTGGCGGCTGTTGGCTAGGCATCCAATTCTGAAGGCAATGCCCCGCCAGCAGAAGTAAAGGTGGCAATGCCTTATCAAGCCATCATTACTTCTGCACTGCTGCCTTGAGAGCTGGGCGGCTGGGAGGGGTAGCTGCTGACTGAGGACCCAGTTCTGCAGATTGCAGTGCAAAAGGGTGGCAATAATATACCATGTCATCCTTTCTTCTGCGCCACTGCTGGTAGCAGCTCTGACTTCACACTATATGCTTAATGTTAGAAGTGCTTTCCAGGAAGTCTTTTCACGTCCCTCTTATTTGCATTTTATCTGCCGATATCTTAAAATGGGGGCGGGGAACCTCAGACCTGGGAGCCAGTTGTGGCCCACTGCTTGTTGGGATCCGGCCCCTGAGGCTCAGGGCTCCCCACAGCATTGGGGAGCCCACGCTGGTGCTTCAGCTCTCCCCCTCGCCCACGGCACTGGAGCATACAAAATCTATTAGCGTGGGTCCTCCTAAGCTCTGGTGTGAGAGGGGAATGCGAGGAGTATCTCTCTCCTCCTCAGTCAGTGAGGTTTTTTTTTCTTTGCTTCTCATTTGTGTAGCCCCCAACTGATTTTTCTGTGGTTTGCCGGCCCCAACCCAAAAAAGGTTCCCCACCCCTATCTTAAAAGATGTGTAGCTTCCACTAATACATATCTTCTTCCCCTCGACTGCAAATAAAATGGTTCTATAGTGCCATCTCTTTGGATCTGTTAACCACTGAACATACTTCAAATACTGTACTTAGAATTTTGAAAGCCTTAAATAATAGAAGACTAATTCAGTGGGAAAGGAAGGGGACATGTTTTCATCTTGGTTCCTTTATGTTAATAGAGATTAGTGGGTTTGGAATTGCTGATTGTCCCAAGGGCACATATTTGAGAGGATGGGAGGGAAAGTCAATGTTGTTGAGATCTTGTAGCTTTGGAAAGGTCTTAAGCCTTAACCTACAGGTCATGTTTACACTGGAAAAAATATTGTCTTAAATCTAGTTAAAATCCTATGAAGGCAAGGCAGGCTTCTGTGGTTTTAACACTTATGAGCCACTACTATTAAACCCTAGGTTCCCTGTAATCTTTAACTTGACTTGCTAATACAAGTGCTAGAAATATGGGTACTGGGAGTGCTGCCATGCCCCCTGGCTTGAATTGGTTCCCTTCATATTCAGGGTTTACAGTTTGGTTCAATGTCTCTCAGCATCCCCTCTATACAAATTATTCCAGCCTCTTTGAATGTGATGACTGTGGCTGCCTTGTCTCCATTATGATTTTCATTCTATGTAGCTAATTTGAGTGAGTGAGTTAATAGCACACCTTTTTGTTCTTTTGTGAAGATACACTCACAGTCTATCAAAATATAACAATGGCATCCTTCCAGGAAAAGATTGTAAAAATTGTTATTGTTTAGAGGTAGATGGTGAAGTTCATGTCACTAATGATTCTGATAGCTCCTTCTTGAGCTTGGGTTTTCTTTGTCTAGATTTTTTTAAAGTTATAGTCTAGTAGGCCACCTGATAGCTCAGTTGAAATAATAAATTTTAATTTCTGTGATATTTAAGGTTCTATGAAAAATTGGTGAATAAATACTAAGAATTATTTCTTAAATCAGTGTATAGGGCTAAAATGATTTACTTATGCTATATTTACACCGTAACTGATAAAAATTCTGTACTTATTCTTTAACTTTTTACAGTTTTAGAACGTATATTTTCTAACCCTAGATACTTATTTGCTTGTATTTTAGATTACAAATATTTCAAAATAATTCAGGTAACTAGTAACTTTAGATTATCTAAATGTTGCTATATAGTCTTACGTAGGCATTAATTTTATTTATCTTGCACAAGTAGAACAGTAAGTGTAGCAAGAAGATATTGGTGCTGTTTGAGTCATTGAGTAACACTTGCATTTGCCTCGCACGTGGCAAAAAATTAGATTCATAAGACAGTGTTTTTCTTTTGGACTTTTAAGTACTCTTATTGATGCCAGTAGGTGTTCCAGCTGGTGGAATAATCATAAAATATGGCTCCACAATCTGGCGGTATAGCTCTTACACTAGGGAGCACTTAGTTATGAATGGCAGTGAAGTGTTTCCTTGCATGAATAAAATCTATATATCACAGAGCTGGAAAAGACTACTGGAATCATCTATTTCATGCATCCTTGCCTTCTTTCTGTCATTTGTTCTACTTTCTTACAGTTTTCTTGAATACCTGGCATCATATTGCTTCCCCTACTAGCTTCAGTTTGCATTTATTTTTTCAATTAATTTTAGGCCATTACAGATAATTTTGCAATACAAATCAGATCTCATAAAATATTTTGCACAATAAACCTCTTACGTCATTTTGTTCCTTGCTCTTTCTAAAACATCTTGCTGCTCTTCATTTCCTTGTTGCTAAACAACTTCTGCATTTCACTGACTGGTGAAATGATTATTATTATGCTGCAGAGAGGGCAGTTTCCTACTGAAGTTACTAATGCAAGTAATTCTATTAAAATCCATAGGCCTGTTTCTGTGAGGATATTGGGCCAATAGAGGAAAGATTCCCATTGACTTCAGTAGTCTTTTGATCAGCCGGATGACTTATAAAGGATAATGGGAGTCATTTGTAGTAAACAAAGCCTCTATGTAATGTAAGTTATTCAACATCACTGCTTTTCTGGTAGCAATAAGAGTAATCAGAGCTTAAAAATAATCTTCCCGATTGGATGTGTCGCAAACTTAAGTCCAGTGCTGCAGGATCAGGGTATTTTTTGTCAAGGTGGAAAGCTTCCCTGTGGTTATATAAAAATATGACCTGAGTTTGAGTCTAGGTTTTTAATACATATTCCATGTTTGCATATTCATTAAGCAAATGATGAATATTCAAATAAGTTGTTTCTGGTCCTCCCAAAGACCCCAGTGCCAGCGTTAGCAAAGCTTTTGATACAGACACCCACGATATTCTTGCCAGCAAGCTAAGGGAATATGGATTGGATACATGGACTGTAAGATGGACAGAAAGCTGGCTAGATCAGGGTTTCCCAAACTTTTTACTTTAGTTGGAATTCGGTTTTTTTCAGTACTGTTTTTTGCAGCCCAAAAATATAAACGCGTATAAAAAAAGAATAAAAAATGAATAAATTGTCAGTGTTTCACCCGGCTGCATCCTCTGCCCAGTCTGGTCCAGGGCTTGGGGGACCCAGCACCGCATGGGAACTCCAGGAGGTGGGAGCAGAAGCAGATTGGGGGTAGGGCATCTGGCTAGGAGGGAGCATGCAAGGAAGGGTAGGGTTGCCAGGTGTCCAGTTTTGTACCGGACAGTCCGGTATTTGAGGGTTCTGTCCGGGAAACAAATTGAGAAAATACCGGACATATAAAATGTCCGGTATTTTCTAATTAGGTAAGTTTTATTATTATTAGGTGTATCAGTCCATAGCTGTGAATTGCCTGGCTGGTAGATGTGCTCATTCTGCTTGTGTGTGTCTACCAGCCAGGCAGTTCGCAACTACTCAAAGGAGGGTATGGGGTGTGGGAGGGGAGAAATGGAATCCCCGGAGCTGGACTCACTTGTGCTCAGGTCTATGTGTGCCCAGGTCAGTCCCGCTTCCCGCCGGCCGATTCACCTCCCTCCCCCCGCTTCTCCTCCCAATCTCCCCTGGCTAGCCCCGCTGCCCCCATCCAGCCCTGCCTCCGGTGGCTGGTTCTCCCATCCTTCTCCTCACGATCTCCCCTGTCCAGCCCCTCCGCCCCCCGTCCAGCCCTGCTTCCGCTGCCTGCTCACCCTGATCTCCAGCCCCGCTGCCCCCAACCCTGCAGCCCCCAACCATGCTTCCGCTGGCCACCCGTCCACCCCGATCTGCACCGGACAGCCCCGCTGCCCCCAACTCTGCTTCCCAGAAGCTGGTTTCCCCGACACACACACACCCCTCCTCCCAGTCCGCCCTGCCCCGCTCCCCTCCCTGCAGCCATGCTGAGCCCCGGTATTTCTTGGGAATTGCTGTTCTATAGAAACAAAATAAAGTCAAACTATTGTAATTCCTAAAACCATCACTTTGAATTCTGTGGCACATGTGAGTGGAAATGTTTATGTGAAAACATCATGGGGTTAGGACTTAAGACCTGCTGCCACTATATCAGAAAGTTTAAATAGATTTCAAAGATCTCTGCCTAAAGTTCAGTTTCTAGTCTTCCCAATTGCAGGGAGAGCTGGAAAATACAAATTCTAAGGACTCAGACACCAGCAAAGTGTACACTGAGTAATCTGACACACTGATTACCTGAGTTGTTTCATTTATATAGCTAGTTCTGAGGAGGAAGGATGGTAGAAAGACAGAAGTGTAATCAATGATCACAGTGTTAGAAATGTGAATAATGTTTTGTACGAGTAGTCAATAGGCAGATCATGGGCCTATCTATCTGGACCACCAGGCATTATTGAATGAACCCCAATAGGCAGATCATGGGCCTATCTATCTGGACCCCCAGGCATTATTAAATGGACCTCACAATCTTTTTATTTACTAATAATTATTTTATTTTTATTTTATTATTTTCTTTGGCATCTGGGCCTTGACTATAGACCTTACCCAAGATATGTGGACCTTGACAAAGCATAGACTATCTCTGCTGTACTGCGTGATGACATTTAGTTCAACTACGGTAAACAGGAATGTGGTGGTTTTATTAGCAATGATGGCTCTTCTATAGTTTTCAATCATAATAAACTTCATCTATTTGAAGTTCAAGTTCAAATTTAAAATGAGGATGAAATGAAAACTCTCACCTTCTAGTGACTGCTTTATTGACATATACCACAAAATCTGTTCCGCTCTCCAATCTGTTTCAGGACATCTTCGTCCTTCCTTTCCAGAGCTGTGCCGTTCTCCTCTCTTTCACAGCAGCTGTTGATCTACTCCTTGCTGCTGTCTTTCTGCCAGTCTTTAGAGCAGTCTGCACAAGGTTTTTCCCAGTCTTTGGTACTGCTCAGGCTCAACGGAGAGCACTGCTTCATACAGCCCGGCCAGGCAACCTCTTGCCTCCTAGTCACAAAATGTAACAGTTTTCATAAGTTGTTTCTCTTCAGGTCTAGTGCTTGATTTCTTCACTCTTAGTAATGTGCATAGCCCCCTCCCCACTTCCCACCCCCGCCCATGTGAGGTAATTTTGCCCACACCTGATTTTATGTAAGTCTCACAATTGTTGGTGTTTTTAAACCACAGCTCCTTGGGTCATGAAGTAGGTTTTCAGTCCTCATAGTTGCAGGGTGTTAACAAAATTGCAAATGTGAACACTGAAGTCTCAAAACCCAGAAAGCAAATAGAATTGTTGATTTATTGTTTAAAACATCCTGATTTGTGTGGAGCCAGAGTCACAATTTTTGGATTTGTTAATATAGGACAGGACTGGGCCTCTTAGTCCAGAATGCAGAAAGGTGTATGGATCTTAAAATATTAAGTATCACCCCATATGAAGTGTGTCTTTTCAGTTATAAAAATGCCACTGCCGGTCCCCTTTTATTATGTTAATGTGAAACTGATCTATTGAATAAGAGTGACAATTTCATGACAGTTGTTACCTTGCATAATTTGCCTAACCCGTATTCTGAATATTTAATTTAAAATCCCAGTTATATAAAAATAATTAAGGTAATATTTAAAATTAGTTGTGTTATTTAAATTCTGAAGCTCTGGTGACGCCACTATGACATTTTGATGGTTGTTGTTTTCAATAAACAAAATGTGTACTGTATAGTAAACTTAGAATTTTTATTAAATTTGGATCTCCATATATTTTCATAGCGTATGTTTACACTGCAGAGTTTTTTCGGAAAAACAGCCATTTTTTCAAAAAAAAAAAAAAAACCTCACGTCCACACTGCACTCACTTTCTTTCGAAAAAAAAATCAAAATAACAGAGGGGTTTTTCCAACATTGGTAAACCTCTCTATGAGGGAGAAGTCTTTTTCCGAAAGAGCTCTTTTGGAAAAAGGCATGTGTGGACAGGGAGAAGGGTGTTCTTTCGAAAGAAGAGGAAAGAGGAAAAAGCACAGGTGCCCAGGTGGCCACTTTGTCTATAGTAATCACAGCTGAAATGCGAAATAGCATCCACGGTGAATGGACACTATCTTTTGAAAAAGCAGATCACTTTTTCCATGTAGATGCTCTCTTTCAGAAGGAGTTTTTAAGATCTCTTCCGGAAAAGCTTCTGCAGTGTAGACATAGCCATAAAGACTTAATTCTTCCTTCAAGAAAGCTGCTCCTACTGAATTCAGTAAGCACTGTGGTCTTTGGCATGTCTGAAAATCAGGCCCAAAGTATCTCAAGTTGAGCATGCCAAAGAGGAGGCATGCAAAGTTAATGAACATTTGCATAAACTTAGCAGCCCATTATTGCTGATCAATAAGCAATTGAGCAATTAATTAAGATTCAGAATGAGATCACTGCATCCAGTTTGTGTGTGTTTACTGCTTCCATTTGCCCTCTGAATGTGTCTGCTTTTCCTTCTAGGCTTCCAGTGGGAATTATTATTTTATTCCATACATTGTTACACCTTGTGCTGATTATTTTTGCTGTGAAAGTGATGCCTTGCGGAGAGCCTCTGAGTACATGCAGCCTAACTGGGACAACATCTTGGGACCTCTTTGTGTTCCACTGATGGACAGGTTTATCGCTCTTCTTAAGGACATTCACGTTACATCATGGTAATGTTGATACATTTATACTTCCTATCCCTGGATATCTTTTTCTGTATACAAGGGGTTTCAGAATCCTCACAAGGGTTCAGTGTTCAACATGTTTAACCCCATGTTAAAAGAAATATCTTAATTTGATTTAATCAATATTGCTATTATGTAGCTGTTGTAGTAAACTAATCATCTTATGACAGCAATGGATTAAATTCAGTATCGAAAATATCAGTCAGCAGAGTCAGAACTGCCAACACAGCCCCTTGGAAAAGGGAAGAAGTATTATAAAAGAGAACATAAATTATAGTGCATGGTAGGTCTTAAAACCAAAGACCATCTTTGCTCTGCACTGTGAACAAACAGTATGGCATTAACAGTGCTCAAACAGACTAGTGTCTGAGCGGCACTTTTTGGCACTCAAATTGGATAGTAATTGTAAAATGCTGCTCTGGGCCTCAGCTGTCTCATGGTGACTCTTGTTGACTGACCCATTTTGACATCCCTTTGTTTACTAGGCACTATCCATTGTACCTCTCCTATACTTTTCACATTCTCTTCCTCAGTCAAAATGTTGTGCAATGTCTGTTTTGTGCCATGCGCTCTTTCCTTCTTCTGTTTCCATAATGACAGGAAGCTCCTATCCTATGGAATAGGTTCCATATGATGGGTAAACTACGTGATCATTATTACCCTTTGGCTGTGCTTGTCATCAGGTCATAGCACAATCATGGGAAAACTCAATTTGGATTCATGCTCAGCATCATTTGAAACGGTGCAATTCAGCCTAGATTAAAACTCTGATCAGTACCTACCCTGTGCTACTGCTGTTTTTATTTATTACTTGACTTACTGTAGCAGCTACGAGCCCTAATCATGTACCAGGATCTGATTATGAAAAGCTATGAACAAACATAGAACAAAAAGATGGTCTCTACCCCAAGGAGCTTACAGTCTATTTCAAGATTGCTGAACTGCAGCCATATTGTTGAGCAGAGCTGTCTTTGTTCAGTGTTATCAGTAGAGCTCAGATTTAAGTTGGTGCATTTTTGTTTGTGACAGCTGCTATGTGGCACTCCGTTCCTACAGTACATTAGATCTTGTGATGTATTTTTATTCTAATTTAAAAGTATCTGATTATGATGTCATTTTTTGCTCCTCTGTTTCTTACACTGCCGTTTACAGGCATATTAATGTGAAGGTGGTGAGGTAAAGAGGAGGGATAATGTGACACTGTCAATACGGCTTACATTTTATGTGGTGTCTTTTATACAAACTCTCTCCTCAAATGTTTTTAAGAGTTAACTGGACAGTTACAGAGTTAGTAAGAGTAATGGCAGATGGATGTGAAGATGTATAGTAGGGACAAGTGACAAAAGGCAAGTTTTAGTGAGACACATAGGCAGCTAAGTCACTTTAAAAAATGGGACTTGGGCTTCTAATAGAGATATGAAGGATTAACCTTACTGTGTGATGCTTTCTGGGTAACGAGTGGAGGGCTGCCAGGTCTGGGAGCTCCGTGGGCTGGGGGCCGTTCCAGCTGGGCTGAAGCAGTGCCCTGCCCAGGATCCTGCTTTAACCAGTTAAACATTAGGTTAACTTAACATTTAACTGGTTAACTGATTAATCGGGATTTTACATCCCTAGCTTCTAAGTCTCTTAAGTGCTTTGAAAATTTTATCCTATATCAGTTGACGTTAATGTAAAAAGTACAGTTTAACATACACCCAGAAACAGTGCATGAGAACTAGGAAAGGTAGTGTGCAAAAAATTAGACATGAGTTTGCAGTGACAGTAAAATAAATAAAATATGAAAGCCTTCCATTGACTCTAATGGCCATTTCTTCAGGCCTTCGCTGTATTATCTCATGAGAATACTTTGCAAGTGAAATATGCTATGGAAATAAGGATCAAAGCATTACTGGATATTGAGAGAGCTTAATTTCCTCTTCTACACTTAGGACTTCAGAGGAGAGCACTTTCAACTTCTCTTGGAAAAGTATTTATATATTTCTAAGTACCTGTCACAATCTGGATATTAATTAGTAAGCCCTGGGGTTAGTACAGGCAGTCCCCGGGTTACATGGATCCGACTTACATCAGATCCCTACTTACAAACGGGGTGAGGCAACCCCACACTAGCTGCTTCCCCCAGCAGACTAGGGAGACGCGAAGCTAGCGCCTCCCCCCCAGCAGACCAGGGAGATGCAGAGCGGCTTTTCTCAGCAGACACCTCGGCTTGAGAATAAAGGACTAAGGGAAGTGAGGTGTGGGAGAATAAAACTGAGCTCTGGAGAAATGTTTGGCTAGAGTTTCCCCTACAATATGTACCAGTTCCGACTTACATACAAATTCAACTTAAGAACAAACCTACAGTCCCTATCTTGTACGTAACCCGGGGACTGCCTGTAATTGCTCACTACAAGTTACATTTCAGATAGACTACATCTTTTTTTTTTTTAATCTTCCCATGTTTCAGTGTAAACTTATTTTTAGTATTTAAAAGACATGACAGTTGTTATTGTGGCTGTTCTCTGTGTAATAGTATGTATTATGTTTATTAAGTTAACTACAGTTAGTCAGATAATGGATGGCTCTGGCTGCTATTCTCCATTAGATATAGATGAAGGATTTTATATCACTGTTGTTACTTTGTTTAGCATGCCATTTTCTGCTTTCTTCAGAATAAATGTGTACATTAATGTGTTTATTAGGGGCACTGTTCCTCTTACTTTACTAGGTCTATTTAAGAATAAAAAATAGAACTTGTAATTTCACAATGCCTCATATAAAATATTTCTTAAATGTGTGAACTGAAAAGAATAGTTACCTTAAACCTCATTCCAATAAAGAAATACTAGCACAGTTTTAACAATGTAGCCAAACCTCCATTTAGAACATTCTAACACTTTCTTTTCATTTTTATTTCTTTTAGTGCATATTGCAAGGAAACACTATTGAATGATATTAGAAAAGCTAGAGAGAAGTATCAAGGAGATGAATTAGCAAAGGAGCTGGCCAGGATTAAGCTCCGTATGGATAATACTGAAGTCCTTACTTCTGACATTGTCATAAACCTGCTTCTTTCTTATCGAGATATCCAGGTATATTATTGATGTGAAAGTAAGGAAGATTGTCTTTCAAGTGGGTTTGTTTATGGCTGTTCTTGTTTGTGGCCTGTTCATTGTATATCTTCTTGAATTTGGAACACAGTATTATTTTAGTTTAAGGGAGGTTATTTCTTTTTCATTTTTACCTATAAAAACAAGAAGTTTATTTTGTTTTTAATTTTTATATCCAAACTTTAAGCAAGTGTAAACTAAGAAAAAGAATTTGTCCTGATTTTCAGCATTTGCTACATGAGTCTGGGTTTACTATGTTTCATAACTGGCTTAAAAAGAAATGTTCTTTTTATTTTAACCCAGCACCCTCTTGAAAAAATAGCTTTTTGCATTTTTGAAAAATCACTGATTTTGGTAAAACAGGGCCTCTCATATAATACTTAGAAGCTGTCCATCGTTGTGAGTGACATTTCTCTCTCAAGACTTATTTTTACCGATCCATTAGAAATATAGAATTTGCTCTGTTGATATTAGCACTTTTGATTCCTGTGTCCCTCCCTCAGGGCACCTCTACTCTGTAAATGAACATGTGATTGAGTGTGCATTGGCACACCCAGGCTACGTCTTAAGTAGGAATAAGAGCCTCCGGAAAAGGGCACTTTTTCCGGAGGATCGGGGCCAGTCTAGACGCTCTTTTCCGGCTTTTTTAAAAGCTGGAAAAAAGCGGCGGACATTTTTATTTAAATGCCGCGGGGGATATTTAAATCCCCCGCGGATTTCCCTACGACGACTAGTGAAATTTACATGCCCCTTCCGGAAAAGGGGCCAGTGTAGACGTAGCCCCACTGTAACAGTAATCTAGCTGGCATCAGTACAGTGGTAGTGAGGAAGTGGTGGCATGGGCTTTGGCACCCAAGTACAAGCTGTCTGGGTTGCTGACCCTGCTAGTATCTGTGACTCCATGATTGTTACCTGCACTACCTAGTTAACTGAGTTAGGCCTACCCATTCTGCAATAACACCGTCACTTTTAGTGCAGATGTACCTAAACTGGGTATTTGTCAATCATTAGCAGATCAAGAGAGAGAGATCATCATATTGCCTTGTCTTATTCAGCTCTCTGTTTTATCTGTATGTTTGATTGCTTGTGATGAGTTCCCGCCAGTTGATTTCCCTTTTGATGTGCCTTCCTATTCCTTTAAGTGCTTTCTTCATTAGGAAGTTTAATTACAGACTTTGACTGTTCTTCAAATGGTAAGAAGATGCTGGCCCTCTGGGACCTCGTTAATATATACCTGAATGTGTCAGGGTCAGTAATGTATCAGCAAGATGCCAAGACCAAGGTTGTTTCTTTAAGTAGCGTCCCTACGGGTGCTGCACTGTAGGTGTGCTTGCACGCCTATGCTGCTGATCAGAGAATGTTGATAGCAGTGTCGATTAGGCCTGCATGTGTGTTGTCCCTCCATGTGCTCCATCAGGAAGCTAGCCAATGCGGGCGGGCAAATGCCCTCTCAGTTCCTTCTCAAATGCCCCTGGCTAGAGATGGAGCTATTAGCAGTCTGTTAATGACTATTATCTCAACGTTTGTAGCCTTGACCGTAGTTTTTAGTAATAGTTATTGTAGTATTTTTTCTCTTATTTTCTCTAAATATATCTATAAATAAAGAACGGGGAAAAAATAAAATAAAATCTTTCTTATTGGGGGCCTTTTCCCCAGCAGAATAAGTGTCCAGGCATGAAGAAGTGTTTCTCATGCAACAAGATTATCCCCATTGCGGATATGCACTCACGGTGCATTTCTTGCATAGGGGAGGGATACAGCCCTGAAAAGTGCACTCCCCAGCTTAGACCTTGGTCACTCAAGGACAAAAACCTGAGGCCAAAGATTATATTCATAGAGGCAGCCTTCAGGCCCTCTCCAGACTCATGCCATGAGTCACCAGGCAGATGAGTCTTCCTCACAGCTCTCGACATCCACAGGCTGGGGGGGAAGAAATCAGTAACTGACTCCTCACAATTTGAAAAATAGAATGGAAAGGCTCCACATTGAGCCATGAGCTACCCACAAATGATCCCCAGCATGCTTGGTATCCTTGGCACTGTCGGTACTGAGGCAGATCAAGCCCCCAATACCCATCGCTTAAGAAAGTCTATAGCAGCAGGTGCCATTGATGTGTCTACAGACCCAAAGGGCACAGGCACCGAGTCGGTGGCACTGAGGGAGAAGACCGGAACAAGCACTTGAAGGTGCTATCTGTACGTGATGCCTCATCAGTACAAATGCCCCACTTGGCACCTGAGCATCTAGAGCAGGCAAGATCTCTGTCTTCCTGGGCACTGTCAGTTGGATTAAGCTGGTTAGCACCAGTGGAATTCCAGCAATTGTGGGGCTCTGTATAATCAATATGCCAAAGTCCCCTCTCTTTGGTACTAGAACCTGCATGCTGAGTCTTTGTCTGACATGGGAATGTGCCCTGCAGCGCTCCCCTCCTCTCTGGTGTAGAGTCAGATAACAAACCAATGGGGGAGATCTCAGTACTCCTCCCAGGCTCCCTACAGTCCACAATAACGCTAGAGTCCCTAGACATATCCTCATATGGCCCAACTGCCATCCTTCCTGCTATGGGCAACCATGGCACCACCACTGGGCTCTACGCCACCACTACCCCAGTGGCCATGCTGGGATTCCTGGTCTACATACCATCCCCATCCCTCACAGGCTTCTAGTTCCACCACAAAAAACCCTGTATTCCCTTAGCCCATGGTATCCAGGCCTTTGGAACCTCAAGGAGAAATCATAGAGGAATGTGAGGGCGATGTCAAGGAAGAGGCGACTGAGAGACCATTTCCTCCTTCCCCTCCCCAGATGAGGCTGTCGTGCCTCCCCCGCTGTCCCTGGCAAATTGCTTTCACCTCTTCCAAGAGCTTATGATGAGAGTATTGGTTTATGTCTAGATATCACTGGAAGAAGTCAAGGGACACACATTACAAGCTTCTTGGCATCTTCCATTGTTTTTCTTCCTCAAAAGTTGCTCTCCATATTAATGAAGTTCTCCTTGATTCCACAAAAACCATATGGTAGACCCAGCATTGGTCTCACCAACCTGCCAAGTAAGATGACAAAAAGTATTCTATTCCTGAAAGAAAGACAGAATTCTTCTTCTTCCACCCCCTCTTTCCCCATTCCATTGTGGTGGTTTACTGTAAATTCTTATGGTTGTCAACACCAGATAAGGTCCATTCCCTACAATAGGGACTGGAAGTGTCTGGACTTTTTTTGAGGAGGAAGGCATATTCCTCGGTCACGCTTCAGTTTCAAAACACTGATTTCCAAGCCTTTGTGGAGAAATATGACTCTGTAAACTATTTGAAACTGAATGATTTTATTGATGTGACTCAAGCAGATCAATTTAAGGCAATCATTCAGGAGGGTCAGCAGCAAAAGCAATAGTATAAATGCCCTAGAAGTAGCTGACACTGTGGCTGGATCTGTCTCCATGGCAGAGGTGATGCAATGTGCCTCTTGGCTCTCTCTATCTGTCAGGCTTCCCAAAGGAGCTACATTCAGTCATTGACGACTCCACCTCCAATGCCACCTTCAGTGGCACACTGCTGTTATCAGTAAGGGTATGTCTACACTACAGTGTTATTTCAAAATAACTCATTTTAAAATAACAAAGCAGGGCTTGCTAGCGAGGCTGCCCAATGAGACAGCGGGGGCCAGCAAGATGGGGGAGTTGAGAGGGTGTTGGCCTGTATGTGCTGACTAGCCTTGTGGTGGGGCATGAGAAGACACATTGCATGTGCAGGCCTAACAGACCCAATCAGCAGTGCAGGGATGAGCACACATTGGCACGCCTAGAAGGGGACATGTTTCGAAGAGCTATTGTTACTGCATAAGGTAAGTAACTACTATTTGTGCACAACTAGCTTGCCTGTTGATAAATGTGAGTTGTCCTTGGCCACACTAACCAGTACAGGTTGGACCTCCCTGGTCCAGCACCCTCAGGAGCTGACCAGTTCCATCGGAGGGAGTTTGCCGTACCAAAGGAGATTGGCCTCTCTGCTGACAGTCTCCGGGCTCTCCCAGGATCCGTCAGCAAATCATCACGCTTCCCAGCCACTGGGCTTCCAGCTTGTTAGCTAGCCCCAAGAGTGCTGGGGTTCTATTGCCCCAAGGCTGTCAGACTCCCTGTCCCAGGGCCACCGGAGTTCTGCAGCCCTGAGGCTAACCCGGGATGCCAGGTCTCCGCTGTTCCAAGCTGTGGCTCTCTAGTCCAGCAGCATCCATGATCCTGCCAGACCACAGATGTTGCCGGACCAGAGAGTCCCAAACCAGAGAGGTTCCATCTGTAATTATTATTGTCACTAAATTGGTAAAGTTTTCAAGTGAAGAGCCTGACCCAGCTGGGAATTTAGGTTAGTGATATTTTCTCTGATTGGATTTTTTTTTATTGATATCAGGACTACGATGCTATGGTGAAACTTGTGGAAACACTGGAAATGCTGCCTACCTGCGATCTTGCTGATCAGCATAACATTAAATTTCATTATGCATTTGCATTGAATCGGTAAGGATAACTGCTAGGTTTTTTGCATTCTCTATAAGCATACATGTATATTCATAAACAGGGCTCGCCGAACCACGGCGAGCTCTGCTCGCCAGCTGCACAGTTCAGCACTCTGCGCATGCACAGACTGCACTGCATATGCACTGATTGCGCTACGTCGCCGTGCCCATGGCGAGTAGATTACCTTAATTGTTGAGCCCTGTTCATAAGTTTAAAATGTGTGTGCTATATTTTTGTGTGTACGTGTGTGCATATATGGGTAACATCTGTCTCACTCACACCCATACCACTGGAACACTATTCTTGAAATAAATTGCTTTTGTTTGCCATAACCATGGGTTGGTCTGTTTGCACCAAAACAACTTTTAACATTTGAAATCTCAGAACAACTTTTAAAAACAGCCACCATTTGGTAAAAGAATAGCCATTCCACAAGAAAGGATAAAAAAGATTCAAAGTGCACTGAAATACATGAAAAAACCTCCCACTGACTATAATGGGCTTTGGATCAGGCCCAAATTGCTTAAATGTTTGAGTTCTTGATTACTGTTTACTAACAGTAAAGGAAACATGGGTGAGTTATTAACGTAATTAATGACAATTGTTAGTTGAACCATAAACTGTATTTCCGATTGAGGGAAGAAAAGCCCATTTGAGCCTGCCTGCTTTTACCCTCTCTATCTTTCCTGGAGTGACAAAGATAAATGTTCTGTTTTCTCCATGTATTCCTCTAGGCTGATTTTTCCATAGTACTTACCTACAACGACTACTGTATTTTAAAATTATAGTGAGGAAGTATTTAGCTTGTTTCTGTGGAAAATAGGTCTTCTCAAATAAGTCTGATTTTGTTCTTTTGACAAAATTACAAGTTTATTTGATAAAGGTAATTGTGTAAATGCAATATACTTAGATTATTATAAGGCATTTGATTTAGCACAGTACAACATTCTTAAAACTTTGCCCGAATGTAACCTTTTGGCTAAAATTTTCCATTTTTGGTGTCTGTCTCCCTGTATTTTTATGTATGCATGAGAGTTTCAGCAAAAAGAATTCAGGCTGTCTGGGAATGAAGTTTATCAAAACTGCCTTCCCTCCTCCCCCTGTGTAAAATTTTCACGGACATAATTGAACATTTGTATTGATTTGGGAATTTGTGGTTGGCAATTGATCAGGGAAGTAGTTCTGAGGTCAGGTAAATAGCTTTCATTGTTTCTGTGAAGATTTGTCTAGTTTTGACCAGGTCATGAGCTGCAAAAAGCTTCCATTTGCAAATACATAGAGGAATTTGTTTAATCATGTTTATTATGGTAATGCCTTAGGGACAACCTAGAACGGGGCTCCAAGTGCTAGCCACAGTACAAACACAGAGTAGTAGACCACCTCTGCTTCCAGTCTAAATACAGTGCAGACACAAGGTAGACATCCAAACAAAGTGAACAGCAGGCAGCAGCAAATGTTATGTTAGTTCCATAATGTATTGTGTGTATGTGTGTATTTATTTAAGTGAGGATGAGCTAAAGGAAAGAAAGAGGGGACATGGAAAGGAAGGGGGCTGAGGGGCGAAGGACAGGAGAGGAGGATAAAAAGGAGCATGTGTGCAGTGACTCTAAGGTGAAGAGACTGGAGGTATGTCTATGCTTTGAACTGGAGGTGTCAATTACAGCTCCAGGAGACGCATGCCAGTGCTAGCTGTGATCAGATATGAATTCATTGGCATGAACAGTAAGAGGGTCTAACTGCCCTGAGTATGTTCCCATCCGACATTTTAGGCCAGTGGGCCGACAGCCTCACTGGGCCACTGGGCAAAGTGGGGAGGGGCTGGCTCCATGTGCTCAGAAGGGTTGGGGCCTTGGGCAGCAGGGGAATAAGACAATTAACCCTTAGTGCCTACCAGACTATGCTTCTTTCTACTCCCCCTCCCCCGCCAGCCCTTACAGCTGCCAAGAGCGCACTACTTCGGGACTCCAAGAGTGATTCTAAGGCCCCAGGGCAAGTGTCGCCTTTGTCCCTCCCAACTTTGGTGGGCCTGCATTAAGCACATACTTCAGGTGCTTAACCACTCCCACTGTTTTACTACCATGACTACACTCAATCATAGCTACCACAGCTATGTCACCTCCAGCTTCAAGTGTAGGCATACCCAGGGAGGGAATTGGGGGCAGGATATTGGAGCGATTAGTCATCAGCACAGGGCAGGGTAATTGTTTGTATGATTTGCTATTAGGAGTCATTATTGTTAATTATTAATTCGTTTGTATGATTAGTTATTGTATGAGTTATTATATTAGTGCCACAAAATCCCATGCAGCTTTTGGAAGATGTTGATGGAGTTAGAATTCTACAAACTCTGCAAAATGATCTGTTCTTGCACCTGCTCTCCTCATTGAGTTACCAGTCTGATTGAGTCTGATGTTCATTTGGAAATAAGAAGGAAATGTATTATGCTAAATAGCTTCCTAAAAAGAACAACTAATTTTCCACCAGCAAGAATGCAAAAAGTACTTTCTGCTGTTTACAGATTTCTGATCCAGTCAGAGTAATTTTTTTTAATTACTTCCCTTTAGAAATTTTCAAAATGCATTTGCTGCTTGATACCTTATTTTGAATTTGAAAATATTTTTAGATCAGGTCTATTTACATATCTGGTCAACTTAATTTTTTTACCCCACAGACTGGTTGCGGTATTAACTTTCTGGGTTGTTTTATTCCTGACTTATTGAATTTTGTTAGTATTAAAAAGAATACAAAATGATGAAGTTATATCTAAGATACTGATTCTTGCTTTGCAAAACAGGGTAAAGATTACTCATAATGTAAAATAAAGTGTAGCAGGAAAAACATAGCATAAGTAATAACAGAATAACTGATTTTAGGAACTAGAGCATACCAAATGCCAGACACTGATGAATCTATCTGATATGTCTACACTACAGATAAGATTCAAGCAACCGCAGTCCATCTTCTGGGGTTTGGATTAGTGAGTCTAGTGAAGACACGCTAATTTGAACTGATGTGGCGTTCCCATCAATGATAATAGTCCTGCGTCTACACGGAGTAAGGGAAGTTGAAAGAAGAGTGTTCTCTCTTTGACTTCCTCCTGCAGTGTGGATGATGTCAAAATTTGAGTTAAGATACTTTGACTTAAGTTACACAATTAACTTAGATGAAGTGGCATATCTTAATTCAAATTTATTCCCTAGTGTAGACCAGACCTCTAATACTTAATATTTCAGATCAATTATGTCACATTTCTGAACATAATCATCAGAAAATCTCATTCATTCATTTTCTCTGCATCTTCTTCAATTAAGTTATTGTTGGCAGTTCATTTAATTTAGTCTTTTCAGTTAGATGGTTGAGCTGTACTATAAAGAGCTAAAGATACGATACATAATTAGGAAGGAATCATTTCTGGGGGATTGAACTCTACAAATTTATGTAGAAAAAGAGCAGAGAATAGCTATACATTTATGACACTATTTACTACATATTTGAGAGTTTGTGTGCTTGTTTGTTCAAGGCTAAGAACTTGGGCCACCAAATTTAGTTTACAGCTTACTCTACTCTTCTCCCAACTAAAAGCAAGACAATGGTTTGATTGTGCTAGGAAAATGGGATGTGCCTAGAATGGGATTGCTTCTCATAAAATCATAAAGAAAAGAGACAGAATCACCACGTAGGTGAAAGCGGATGGCTGGGGGTATGCCTGCTCCCCATCCTGGGCTGCCCCAGGCCTCCTCATCCAGTCCCCTTTATGCAGAGTAGGGGGCCTGCAGCTCCCCCGCCCCCAGTTTGTACGTGTACGTTGCTGGCTATTCCCCTTCTCCAGGAAACAAAGGGAAAGTGTACAGTTTGCCACATTCCTCCCTCTGGCTGGGGAGTGCAGGGAACAGATGAACCCGGACCTGCCCCACCCCAAGGGACATGAGCCCTTTCCCTAGGATGTGCCTGCTGGACCTGCAGCAATCATGGAGAGGCACTCCTCACGTGGCCCCAAACTGCTGCAGTGAGAGAGGACTCTGGTAGTTCTCTCTCCGTGGAACAGCCCGCATCCTGAACCCCTCTTCCCCAGCCCCACCCCAGAACAATGATTTAAATGGAGCATGGGCATTTTCATTTTATTTTCCAAAAACCAAAAATTACTTGAGCTAAGGACCTAAGCAACACTGCGTAAATTGCCTAGTTATAAATAACAGATGATAAATTCTCCTACCACAGAACCTATGCTTGAGGAATTATCTGTGACACACAGGTCTCAGCAGGGGACACAGCTTTGGAGCGTAGCGCACATATTATCAGGGACTCTTCTCCTTGCTTCATTTTATTTAATGTAAGTTCAATGGCTAATAAAATGTCTAACAACTATCAAGGACATCAAGGAAGATGTCTGTCTGAGGATCAGCAGATTAGATTCCCATGCTTGCATTTGTCTTAAAATGGGTAAGTGAGTGAGTGATGCCTGGGTCAGAATCTGGAGCATACAGCTTTTACTGTGGCACTTTGTCTGGGTTGGCACTGAAGTTGCCAAGACCTTTTGCATTCTGAAATTTCAGTGATCATGTGGATAAGTGCTCTTCATGGTTGACTCAGGATTTCATGGTGTTTTCATGACAAACATGGGTCTGTCTCAAGTAATTTCAGGCTCTGTGCACAGAATGCTGCACACTCTGGACTTTAGTATGGCTTTGGGGAAGGCGAAGATTATATTTGTAATACTCCTGGGCTGTGTCTAGACTGCATCCCTTTTCCGTAAAAGGGATGCATGTTAGACACATCATAATTGCAAATGAAGCGGGGATTTAAATCCCCCCCGCTTCATTTGCATAAAAATGGCTGCCGCTTTTTTTTTCCAGAGCTTTGCCAGAAAAAAGCGCCATCTAGACGCGGATCTTTCGGAAAATAAAGCCTTTTCCGAAAGATCCCTTTAAGAGGAATAAGGGATGCAGTCCTGGTGTTTGAGGTCAAGGTTCATATCCTGTTGGGGATAGTCTGCCAAAACA